CCTATAGTAGATGATATAACTAAGTTAGATACTAATAATAATAATTTATATAAGATCAATAAGAATCTGTATAAAAAAACACTTACCTGCTGGACAAATGATTCATCAGAGATCTAGTCGACCTAGTCCGCCTAGCCTGCTAGTAAAGTTGCGTTGTACACACGCGTACTTGTAAGTTGTAACGTTATTATTAGGCCTATACATACTGTTACGTATCCGTTTGTTAATTAACTTTCCGTAACTTCGTTCCTACGAAACTTTAGCGACACAAGTCCTTACATAATAAAACTGGTTTATTCTTTCCGAATATAACTTTACGATACACTTAATTTCAACAATCGCTCTTAAACAAACGCTATAACAACGAACGTGCTCAATAATACTCTCTGACTGCAGATCAATTACTCACTGTCTACACACACATTGTTATTCCGTCACGTGGTCACCCTCTTTTATATACCAGACTACCCTATATCTAGTAAATGCTAGAGCATTCGCCAAGGTACAGGATAGTTCTAGAAACGTGGCGTGACACTAGTCATCTGACTTCGCTGATGCAACAATACGATTGTTAACAACCGGTTTGTGGAGGTCATTAAATTCTAAGAACAGGTTCGCACGAACCGGTGCGAACCGGCTGAATCCCACCACTGTTAAACATCTAAGGAATATGGGAAAACTTCATAAAGAAGGTGTTTGGGTGCCTCATGAACTCTCCGATGATCATCGTTTTCAACGTGTGAACGTTGCTTCGTATCTTCTGGCGCGTAATGGGCGTGAACCATTTTTGGACAGAATTGTCACCAGTGATGACAAATGGATTGTCTATGCGAATATTAAACGTAAAAACAATGGCTCAGTACTAGACAAAAACCATTTCCGATCCAAAAACCTGCACTCCATCCGCAGAAAGTGATACTTTACATTTGATGGTACATCAAAGGAGTAATTCATTTTTAACTCCTCAATCCACAGCGAACTGTCAATGCAGAGATCTATAGTCAGCAACTGGAACATTTAAATCAAGCCCTTCATCATAAACGCCCTTCGCTCGTCAATCAGAAAGGTATTCTTCTCCACGACAATGCACGTCCACATGTGGCACGTTTGGCGCAACACAAGTTAACGGATTTGGGTTGGGAAGTTTTCCACCACCCAACATTCACCATAAAGCTGATATGAAGAGCCGTTTCTTGAGTTATACTAACTTCCCACTTTGACCTGAGACCTTTCAAGTTTGACCCATAAGATACTTCTTCGCCCAATGACCATCTATTAATTAATCACGCGAAACACTGTGGAAGGACATTAAAAGCTGGGTGTTGAAAGCGGGTAACAGAAATGACCTCTACCTCCACTATTTTGACGCTACCTCTTCCTACAAAGTCACTCTAACCATCGCACATTGTATAGCATGTTTTAAGTATATACATAATGAGTTCTTAAAGCTTATACAAAACTTTTGGTGAGGTAATAGTGAATACTAAAATAATATGTTATATTATAAATAAATTGTGTGAAATTTGGGTTTTTTGTGTTATTTATCATAGCATCCACTCACACATTTCTTAAGTTCATAACCCGGACAAATGACGGGTACCTCAGCTTGTTATGTATATATATTTTACGCATTTCTTCTAAGTCGTTTAGTTGAGCTGCCTTTTGAGTTTGTTTATGAAAATTCACTTCCCTTAATTAGTTAATTTTAGAATTATTTGAATTGAGGGAAAATAACCGATACTTCGTAGCGCTAAGGTACTTCCTCACAATAACTCCAATCACTAAGGTATATGAATAAGTTTGTCGCAATATGTAAAGAAGTTGATAAGATGCATTATCAACAGTCACTAGTAATGATGTGTTGAATTCTAATCCCATCGTCTGGTGGAAAATACAAGTATAAAAGAAACGATAATTGAAGCTCTGTATTTAAGAAATCAGAGTTGGGTATTTGGTAATTATTTGCTTTGGTTATTGAGACTTTTAATCAGAGAGTGCGATAGGACCTTCTCTATGTAGGGATAACACAGACGTCCGTATTAAAGCAACACAAAAGACATCTGGATTTTCTTCTATACACCTCATCAGAAGATACCTGGCACAGTCACTCTGTCTGCGGTGTATATGCCACTTTTGAGTTATCCAGAACGTCCCAAAGTCGAAAACAGGAGAATAGCACAAATCGAGATTTCTTATTTCATCATCTTCTTTCTTCAACAGGCCTAACGCCTACCTAGTTCTAGCAGTAACTATAATTTTATCATCATTTGATAGAGCAAAACAATTTTCACGATCTTAGACTACCTATTTTAATATTATTCTATGCAAAATTTATAAAGCTTTAGGATAGACTATATAACTTAGTAACCTATGTACGCCATCTTATTAAAAAAAAATGTAAACAAAGGGGAAAAATCTATCCAAACACTTAGCATTCGATAGATAAAGTGGAGAAGACAGTAATTTAGGGATTTTATTTTCCATGTAAAATCGAGACGGCTTAGTCTGCTATACGATCATTAATCGGATCAAGTGATATGTCCACTTACATCCCTATTTTGTTTGGTTCCTTTTTCAAGTTCAGTAGCGAGTCCTACATATTTTTTTATTTAGAGATGAATGTTTTCCCTAATACTTGTTAGAGAATTGTAAGTGTTGTTAAGTTTTTTTTTTGTGATATTTCTTTAAGTTGTACTTTTCTTTGTGATTCTTTTTTTTTCTAACTTTGATTTTACTGTGGTAGTGTTGTAGTTCAGTTGGAGTCAATTCAAATGATTCATTTAATTCAGTGAAACGAAACTAATCAATCTAGACTGAAGCTCTGGGTTTTAACAGAGACTATATACACAATCTAAAGTTTGTTGTCTCGGTAGTTGTGCTTCTTAAGTAGGAAATGTAGGCTGACAAATGATTACATTTTAGTAAAAATTCTGGAGAAAATACGAAAATGTAAACTAAAGATAGCTTAACCAACGATTTAACAACGATACAAGACTCTATGAGCTGTAACTAGTGAAATTGAATAAATAATACAACTCAATCCTCAATAATAGTCAACTGTATTACTTACATTTTACGAGATTGAAAGTAAAGGGATCGAACGTATTATATGTGTTGTAATAAACCACATTATTTATTTCACAATTGGGGTGCGTGAGCTTTTTCTTCCCCTTGCGTCTTGTTGCACAGTAAATAGTTGTTTAGGTGTAGGACGTTGAAGAGTGGAATGCCTACCTCTGTTCTTTAATTTGATTTTTAATTCGATATATGAAGTTGGAGAAAAGGGCCTAAACTTCATAAACGATATAATGCATAACTTTCGACAGCCCGTTTCCTAATATAATTCTGTTATCTGGACACATGCGTTACTGTATTTTGCCCTCTTTTAATTTCTTTGTTTTATGTATAGAAGACATGGTTGCTGGACGTAATTAAAATTTCATCGAAGAGCATGAGGTATTGCTACACTACACTTTCTTTCCTGTGAATGTTTAAATTTATATAATCATTTAGCTATGAGTGCTAGTATAAAACTTCAACACGTAGAACCTTTGTAAATAACTTCTCCCAGACTCAACAACACTATCGTACAACCGGCTCTTTTCAACCACTAACTCTCTTTCTTTTGGTATTGAATACTTCTACTTACAGAATATGCCATTCTTTAACTAAGAAGTATTTCTTTAATCTCGCTTACTTAAGAGTTCAATGTGTGAGGGTAGCAGGTCCGGTCTTGCTGTGAACTTAACCTGCACCGATCTGTAGATATTTTTCACCCTCTGCTGATGGCCTAATAAAAAATATTTTATTTTTAAAGGTGTTTGATTCTAATAGTACAATCTTTCTTGCTTATTTGAAACTTCTTTAAGTTTTTCTCAACCAAAATCAATATTTTAGAATCCATATAGTTGAAATTGACTTGGTAGCGCTAATTTTATTAGAATTAGTTTTAATTATTTTCTTCTAAAAAAGACAGAACGAATTGCCAGATATTTCATCTCTCTTTCTCTAATACTAATCACTATATAGTGTAATAGAAACTGCTTATTGTCGTGAAAATAACTTAAATTTTATCTTCACCATTTTCCCACTAAAATCAAATGTTATACATTGTTTTTTAGTAAGTACCAAAACTGTATGTTTGTTACTGTGTTGTCATTAATAATCAAAATACTTCATTGTATAATATATTTTCTTAAATAAATTGTCTCGCTAAGTATTACAAAACTTTCAAGGAAATTATTTGTTTAGGCACTTGTAACCTTTCTGGCTCAACTAGCAGCTGAAGAGGAACACAATCAAATGAATCTTCGAAACATCGCAATGATAATGGCGCCGAATCTATTCCCTCCTTCATCACAGAGAAATTCTATTAAAACTGATATCGATGCTGAGCTTAATATGGCTACTAAGAAGTGCAGGGCGACTGAAATGCTGATCAAATACAGGGATATTTTATGGACGGTAAGTTAATAATGGCTCTTTAAGCTTTATGGGTTAAGGTGTAGTAAATTCTAGAAAAAGTTAAACTAATAGAATTTGCATAGTTCATTTAAATTACTTTTTATGTATTGACAGTACCTTACATATATTATTTCTTTGAAACAATTTTGGTGAAAAAAGCTTCATAAATATTTCATTATTTATTCTTAGGGTTATGCTTGTACTTACATAAACAAATGAGGATTTTGAAGGGTATATTTTTCACTTTACAAACAAATAAGACAGGTAACTTTAATAAATGATTTCAGGTTCCTTCTTATTTACTTCAACAAGTGCGGCAGAAGAACGAATATGAAGTCTTAAGGAAAGCTGATGGCAAAGTTGTGAGTTACACTGTATTGTACATCAGTTATTGTTTAGAGTTTTCTAATTCATAAGTAATTCCCAAGGAAATTCCGAGAACCTGTAAGTAGATATTTAAATCTCGTCTTCCACCCAGTTTCAGGTTTAATTGTATGACGAACTTAGGTTTTGGTTTGCGATTCATAGTACTGTATCATAATCTATTTTAGTTTATGGTTGTAATGCTGAAAATATCTACGTTCTTAAATCGTATGCTACATTAGTTTGGGATTGCATCGCGGCAAATATTTACATTCTTAAATTATATATATTACTTTAGGATTTTTTTACTTCAAAATATTTACGATCGTAAATCATACATTGCTTTAGTTTGGGATTGTAGTAGTGCAAAATATTTACGATCTTAAATGATATATTATTTTACTTTGTGGTTTTTTGTGTTACAAAATATTTACATCGTTATGTGTACGCATTATTATTATTAATATTGTATTAAAATGTACCACTTTGATATAAAAATTAATATGCGTTTTATTAGTGTAAATGAAGATAGGTATTTAAATATGACACACTTTGAGTTTTTAAGAGATAATCATTTAAATATAATCACTTATAGGGAGAATCGAGGAATTATATAATTAAGTTATTATTTTTACATTATACAGAAAAAGATTTTGGGGAAAAAATCACGGGCTGACATGTACAAAATTGTGGAGCATGAGCAAGTAAGTTCAAATTTAAAAGGCGAGTTCTCTTATACTATTTATCACTTTATATTAGGTATCTATGATGATTGCTTATAGCATGGCGTTATTTTTCCTTAATCTAAGTAAGTACGTGATAGTGATCTGGTTTGCCATATTCTTATCTAATTATTGAGGCAAAATAAAATTAAAATATACTAACTTTTCGTAACAGCAATAGCAAATCATGTTTACTCTACGTAGCAGCAGTGATTCTGCTTATAGGCTATACACAGAGAGCGGTTATTGTTGACGTTCGTAGAAGAACTCGTGAGGCTACTGAATCATTATCGTAAATATATGTAATGATCCTCGTGAATAAAAAACTAAAAATTATCTAGAAAAATCCTGCAATTTTTTAAATTTCAGCTTAACATTGGAAATTTTCTTGTTTAATCTTTCGATTAAATCGCGCAGGGATACACGAACAGATGAATCAGGAGATGCAATTCTGTAAACAACTTCACATGGAGTAAGCTGTTTCATGAAGTTTATTGCTAGAATGGAAGCTGCCAAATGCAATGTAAATGCGAACACATCGAGAAAAAAATTGATTTGAAATTATTTATGCACCAATTCAAAAGGAGAAGCAAAGAAACTAACAGATGTCAAATGGAGAAAGTACCTTGAGTATTTAGATAAATGGATTAAGTTGGATGAGCAAGAACAGGTTATTGCAGCATCATTTGAGAATTATCTGTCACCAGATTACGAAAATAACATTCCATCCGACGTTGCGTTTCCTAACGATTGTGATACTATGCGTTTCACAGACAAGAAAAGAATAGGAAACGTTGTGCTAAGCAAGAACAGCCAACTATTGAAGTAAGCATCATTATGCGTACGGCTGGGAGGGGGGGGGTCGGTACTAAACGGTA